CACTCGCGCTGACAGAAAGGAAGCACCCATCGCCTTCTTTTCAAGAACCCTCTCAAAACCGGAAAGGAATTACAGCCAGCTGGACAAGGAGGCCCTGGCAATCGCCGCGGCCGTAAAGAAGTTCCACGAGTACCTTTACGGCAGGACCTTCTCCATCATCACAGACCACAAACCGCTGCTCGGGATCCTGGCAGGGGACAGGGCCACCCTGAACATCCTATCTCTGAGAATGACAAGATGGTCCGAATTCCTTGCCGCCTACAATTACCAGCTAGACCATCTCCCCAGTAAGTCAATCTCACATGCAGATGCATTGAGCCGCACTCTGTTACCCGACCTGGATGCTGACCCAGCACCCGCTATGTCCACCCTGAGCATAGAGACCTTACCCAATCTCCCCCTAACTGTGTCAGACATTGCCCAGGAAACCAATAAAGACAAATGTCTGGCGCGGGTTTTAAACTGGGTAGAGAAAGGGTGGCCAGAAAAGGACGACGATGAACAGTTCAGAGCCTTCTGGAGCTGCCAAATGGAACTCTTTACACAAAAAGGCTGTGTACTGTGGGGAGACAGGGTCGTTATCCCAGAAAATCTACAGAAAAGAGTCTTGGACATGCTGCACGAAGGGCACCCAGGCATCGTCAGAACAAAAGCCCTGGCCAGAAGTCACGCCTGGTGGCCAGGGATGGACAAGGAGATCGAAGCCTGGGTGGCATCATGCAAGCAATGCCAAGAATCCAGACCGATCCCTCCCGCCGCCCCAGTCCTGGAATGGGAAACCCCCAGAGGGCCATGGTCCAGGATTCATATAGATTTCGCTGGACCCACCAAAGGACACACGTTCCTGGTGACAGTAGATGCTTACTCCAACTGGCTGGAGGTAAGCAACATGAGAACAACCACCACAGAAGCTGTCATCAAGGAACTCAACAAGCTATTCTCAACCCACGGCCTCCCAGATGTAATTGTATCTGACAACGGGCCCCAGTTCACCGCGCTACCCTTCGAAAGATTCCTAGCGGAACGGGGGATATGGCACGCGCTGACAGCGCCGGCTCATCCGGTGGCGAATGGGAGGGCAGAACAAATGGTCCAATTTACGAAAAAGACAATTAAAAAAATCGAAACCGGGGAAATACAGGACAAAATCAACAGGATGCTATTCATACAACACATAACCCCGAACACAACAACGAACAAGAGCCCGGCAGAGCTGCTTATGGGGATAAAGCTATGATCACCACTTGACCGGCTGCACCCCACATACAACCCGGAAAAATCGTCCGGCTCCTCCAGCAAGCACCGAACGTTCGCACCAGGAGACGCGGTATATGCAAAGAACGTCACAGGGGACCCACTCTGGATACCGGCAATGATAACCCAGGTAACGGGTCCCCGCTCGTACCGGTTACTAACGAACGACGGGCGAGCATGGAAACGACACATCGATCAGCTAAGATCGAGAACCACCACGGGAAATACAACCGACATGCAATTACACAGAAATAGAGAACCAGGAGCAGAGGGGGAACACCAAGGCACCAACCAAGAGGGGAGGGAAAACCCCAAAAAACAAAACAGACAACCCCATCAAAAAAGAAACCAGGAATACTCACCAACCGAAGCACCAGGAGATGACCCGCTCGAAGCCTCGCCTGGAAGAAGCAGCCAAGCCAGCTCAACCAGCCCGGGGAGCCCAAGCGGGAGCAGCGAAGCCAGCAGCTCGACCAGCCCTGGTAGACCAGGAGGGAGCTACGGCGAGAGGCCCGACTCACCCTTCCAGGTGGTTCCATCGACGAGGCAGAGAGCAACACAGACCCCAACCGAACCGGCCGGCGGCCAAGAGACAACTAACCTGCGCAGGTCCAGTAGGCAAGTATGGAGCCTCGCCTACTTATGGGACTACGTCACGTAGGACCAAACCAAGAGGGGAGGGGTGTTCTGTATATGTATTTGCATTCTTGTAAACCTGCACTTCTGATTGGCTAAACGCACAGCACTTGGATTGGTCGAGTGCGCGGCACTGATTGGCCGTTACAAAGCAACCGCGATTGGCCGAGCCAATCGCGGGTGATTCGAACGTCTGTCATTGGCCGCGGCGCCCGGCACCAGTTCAATATAAGCCGCCACACTCCAAGCCGGCGGCCAGATCCAACTTAAATAAAAAGAGCTTTAAACCAGTCACTGCCTCGCGTCTCTTCTTGGGACCGATCGTCCGACATAACATGACCAATTAACAGGGGTCCTGACAAGGATTTTTAACATCTTCCTGCAACTGGCTAGAGTTCGATCATGCTTGAAAGCAGCCACAATCATCCCAGCTACGAAGAAAGCAGCCATAAACAGCCTGAATGACTATAGACCCATTGCACTGACATCTTTAGTGATGAAGTACTTTGAGAGACTGGTCCTACAACACTTCAGGTCCTGTCTTCCACCAAATTTTGATCAATACCAGTTTGTTTATAGAAGCAATGGGTCAACAGGGGATGCAGCCACCACTGCTCTACATACTGCATTGAGATACCTTGAGATATCTGGGAATTATGTCAGAATGCTTTTTATAGGCTATAGCTTGGCCTTTAATACCACTTTACCAGGCATCCTCATTGAAAAGCTGACTGACCTGAATTTCCCTCCCCTCATTTGTGACTGGGTTAAAGACTTCCTGATGGATCGTTCACAAATACTAAGGGTTGGGCCCTTTACATCCTCCACCCTGAAGCTTAGCACAGGCTCCCCTCAGGGCTGTGTGCTCAGCCCCTACCTGTACTCGGTGTATACACATGACTGTATATCCTCTAATCCATCCAACATCATAATAAAGTTCACAGATAATACAACCATGCTGGGTCTTATAACCAGAAGGGACGAATCATCAAACAGGGAAGAAGTCCAGAAGCTATCCACATGGTGTTCAAAAAACAACCTGCATCTAAACACTAGCAAGGCAAAGGAGATGTTGCTGGATTTCCAGAAGCAAAGAGAGGAACCTGCCCCACTGTATATCAAGGAGGGATGTGTGGAGAGGGTTTCCTCTTTTAAATTCTTGGGAGTTCTTATTAGTCAAGACCTCACCTGGAAATACAACACATCCCTGGTGGTTAGGATGGCTCAACAGAGACTTCATTTCCTTAGAGACCTGCAGAAAAATCAGGTGGAGCAATGGCTGATGACTTCTTTCTATCAGTCCATGATAGAAAGTATCCTTACATAATGTATAACAACAGTATAGCATGCTGGTTTAACAGCCGCGGACAGAAAGGCACTATAGACAATGATTAATTTGGCACAAGAAACCATTGGTTGCCCTCTAACACCACTTGATGACATCACCAGGTCCCGCTGTTTAAGCAGAGTAAGGGAGATACTTAGGGATGATTCACACCATGGCCAGTGTCTCTTTTCACTTTTACCATTGGGCAGGAGACACAGAAGTACAGCCAGCCGGACAAACAGGTTTAAAAACAGCTTCTACCATGGGCTGTCAGACTCCTAAACACAATATAGCACCACTAACAGATTAATATGACGGATTTCACTGGTGCCAATGTAATGTGTAATATGTATATACCATGATATAAGATCATACACCAGAGTAATATACCTGTTGCACAGAATATGACGTACATATGGAAATGTATGACTAGTTTTTTTCCTAACTACTTGTATAAGGATTATTCCTTATATTATTCATGTTGTCTTGTATTGTTGTATGGACTGCACCGGTAGAGGCTAAACCAATTTCGTTGCATACATGATGTACTATGACAATAAAGGCTTTGAACTTTGAACTTTTAAAAAAGTCTCTAAATCCCTAATCAAGAGATAAAACTCAAATGATAGAAAATTCAATTATATTAGAATAAAACAGATTTGTTGGTTTATTTCTTTGTTGGTTGGTTGTCTCTCATAAAATCTCATAGTCTTTCTGTGGATATCTGGGGTTCCGTAGAATATAGTTTGAAAAGCTCTGCCCCACCTATTGCAGGGTAGGGAGAGACAGGGCTACGGGAGAGAGAAAACATTCTCATCGGAGTCCTGGAGAGCTGCTGCCAAGTCACAAGGCTATAAGGCCAGGAAAGCTCTCTAAATGTGCAGCTGTCCTACTTATTTATTTTTTATTTTATTTATTTTTATTTGTCAATTGCTTACAAGATAATAGGTATAAGTAAAAACATAGTTATGGATACATGGATACATATAAGAAAAATAAAAGAAAAAATAAAAGAAACAATAGGACAGGGATGGTAGGCATGTTGGTGCACTTATGCACGCCCCCTACAGACCTCCTAGGAAAGGGGTGAGGTCAGTAGTAGACAGTCTAAGGTTAAAGTTTTTGGGGTTTGGGGAAAAAAAACGCAGAGTCAGGTAGAGTATTCCAGACATTGACCACTCTGTTGCTGAAGTCGTATTTCCTGCAATCAAGTTTGGTGCGGTTAACCTTGAGTTTGTATCTATTGTGTGCTCTTGTGTTGTTATGGTTGAAGCTTCATTGACAGGTAAGTCATTGCAATGCACTTCACAAGGTTGCTGTGGGAATAAAATAGGAAGAGGACTGTTGTGTACTGTGACAGTGATACTGGTTTGCTTCAATTTCGACAGATACTTCTGATTAAGGAGGAATTTTCAGCATTTACTTTCTTTGTCTTTTTTCCCCAGAAATATGACTCTATCAGCAAGTTAGTTGTTACTATTAGCCCACTTCGAGCCAAGAGTGAAATATTACGCATATACACGAACTCAGTTGCTGAGTCCCTTGAAGGAGCCATTCTGGGGAACGAATGAATTCGAGTTTATGGTTGTGAAGGATGGAAATTCGAGAAGCCCTTGCTGCTCCTCAAACTTTCCACTTCAGATCGGAGAGTTTGCCACCCGTGCGTGGCGCCGCTCCTCCCCATCGTCGCCTCCCTCCCGCCCCGCCCCGCCCCGCCCGCGTCGGTATCCCCTTGACACATCGCGCGCAGGTCCCTTCGCGCTAGTTGCTGGCCACAGAAGGAGGTTCTGAGGGAAGGGAGTCATGCGGGGCGGGGGGCGACTATCCTCTCGTCCTTGGCTGCCGCCGCCGCCGCCGCCACTGCCGCTTCCCCGCAAGCTGCACTGATTTCTCCCCGCTTGGCTGCGGCCGCTGTTTTTGCAGCCATTTTGCACCAGAGGAGCCGGAGGCAGAGGGGGCTGCGGCGGCGGAGCAGAGACATGGGCTAACAGCTGTTGCGGCACAGGAACCAGCACCATGGTGAAGAGGAAAAGCTCAGGAGGCCAGGACCAGGAGAGCGGCCGAGGGGTTCCGCTGCCTATCCAGACCTTCCTGTGGAGGCAAACCAGGTAAGGGAGACTAGGGGGCGCTGCCGGCTAAACCTCGCTGGGATTCAAGGGCTGGGATGCAAGGAAGAATTGCGGGCTCTTCGCCCGGCTGTAGGTTTTTGATTCCAAGAGACCGAAGCCAGGACAATGAGAAGCGACCTTTTCTTTAAATAGTCAGCTCTGCTTTAGAGGGACAGTCATTAGATAGCAGCAGAGATAAGAAACCTCGGACTCTTTGCTGCCCTCTATTGGTGATCTCTATTTGGGCGCTGAGTTAAGATACATCCATGCTCTCTCCTTTCTCTCAGCCTGCACCTGAGGTCTCTGCCGGCCAAGTGCCAGCGCTGCATGCCATGAAACCACTTCCTCAATGACCTCTAATCAGTCAAGGTTGCAGCAGGTGTCAGGGGATGTTGTGCTATCTATCCAAAGAAACACCAGAAAATCCATTTTGCAACTGGAGTCAATTGCTAGCATTGCACAAGAAGATGCAATCGGGGAAACTGTAATTGACCCCTGGAAAATCATCTCAAGTCCCACAAATAACTTCCCTCCTCCCATCTTACTCCCCAATTGGGCATGTTTGGAATTGAAGCTTCAGCTTCCCATCTTCACGAGAGTTGAGAAAAGCCATACAGTAACCATTACTAAAATGGTTCAGCAAAAGAATAAATTATCTTATTGTATTAGTTTTAACTGTCTGTATACATGCATTGTCTATCTATGAACATCCCTTCTTTCCCAGTAAAATTGAACATTAACATCCTATGGAAACTCACCCCCAAGTCATTAAAAACTATATTTACCTATAATAAAACATCAACAATGGCAAGATTAAACTACAAGTAATTCTACCATGTCTTAGGGATGTGATTTCCTGGTGTCTTCCATCTGACATAAATGCAGTTCAATAAAAGATTAGTTGATTCACCTAATGTTTATGATAATGATTATGTATGCACAATTTAAAGGATTTCATATAATAAAAGTCACTATATAACAAGCACTTTATATTTCACAACAAAAACCTCAGCTGATTCTTGCTGACAATGGTAAGATAAGATTAGTTTATTGTATATATAGTATATATCATAGAAGACAATAAGGTTGAAGGTCTCATGGCTCACCTCTTCCATATTTACAGGCTACAACTTTTCAGACTGTAGCCTGTGGACTGATCAGTTCTTTGTGTCATGGTTAGTAGGGATGGAGACATGGATGGCATTGTGTTGTTGGAGGGTAGACAAGATCATACTTTGGGTACCATCTAACTTTATCATTCCGCTCCCTCCATCAGACTTGATTCAGATGTTCATCATCATTTTCGAATGTTGGTGGGGTACTTGATTATTTCTTATTTGATGAAAAATAAGTATTACACAAATTAACTCAATTCAGGTGATTCTTTTTTTTTTTAAGGCATATGATAAACATCTTAGATAGACAGCTGGATTATTATTCACTTCATGCTGCTGACATTTTTGAGGGCTCTTGCAGCCCCTGTCCTAATTATTTAAAATGTAAAGTGGCTGCAGAAGAAAATAAAATAAATTAAACAAAAGGCAATCTCAGAGCTGGTACTGAGTATCTTGGGGTCCTGACATTGAACAACTTTACCAGTTTGTCATGACAACCATTTTGGGAATGGGCAAGCACCATCTTATGGCAACCAGCTTACTTGAGCATGCACAACACATGCTCAAAATCTCCACTGTGCTTTCAGGCTGGTAAATCGGAAGCACTACTGTCCAATCACATCACTTGTTGCAGATTTATTAATGCTACTGGTTCCTCCTCATGTAGAACCTGGAGAACCCAAGGATTCAAATTATACCTCTTATGGATAGGGTTTTTTTTTCTTTAACTGCAGTCCCATCCCATATCTATCAAGAAATATATCATGTACAGGAAATGGCATTGGGCAGGAATATGCAACTTTCTTGTGGGCAAGAAAGAAAAAATGCTTTTCACTTTCAAGAGCACAGGGGGATATAACTAGTGATGCCATTATAATTTGGACTGATTATAATATAAATATTTAGCCTTTGGAGGAAGTGGTTAACAGAGCTAAATAGGTATACATATTTTGCACTGTTCAATCCGTCTGTTAAAAATGTTGGCTTTATTTTGGCAGGGTGCCTGAGGATTTTTAACCCTCTGCTGTATTTAAGGCATCCACTTAGCATCTAAGATTCCCTCTCTGGGATCCTAAACTTTATTTAAAATGGGTGCTGGAGCTCATATATCAGGTTCTGCACTTATGGTGTACATTTGCTTATTATAAGAATTGTATCTTAGAAAATGTTCTCCATAGCAGACACATAGAGATACTTGCTAGCTTTATAGCACGGGATTTCAAGAGCCCTGGTGGCACAGTGATTAGAATCAATCTTGCTGCCTAATTCTGTCCACAGCCTGGAGTTCAATCCTGACAGGCTCAAGATTGGTCAGGCTTCCATCCTCCCAAGGTTGGTAAAATGAGGACCCAGATTATGGGGGCAATATGCTGACTCTGTAAACGGCTTAGAGAGTGCTGTAAAAAGAGCTATGGCAGTGTATAAACCTGAATGCTATTGCTAGTGCTATTTTGAAATGACACTATATATTTCTAACTAGTCATCAATTTAAACACACATATACACTTATAATAGCTCAATAATTGTGCCAATTATACCTAAAATCCTGTTTTAACAACATCTATGTCTTTTTTCAGTGCATTTTTGAGACCCAAACTGGGAAAGCAATATGAAGCTTCTTGTGTGGTATGTGATTTTTGATGTTCTTGATTTACTGATGTGCATGAATTGTTTGCTTCTAATATGAAATTCAGGAAGCTATGTTCAACTCAGTGGGCCAGACATACTACTAGTTTCACTACCAATAGTTAAATGTTTGATTGAGGCAGGTTAGAACCATGGTTTCTTCTTTGAATAGCTTTTTACTACAGGTAAATTTTATTTTTTTCACAGTGATACTTGCAGGAAGAATACATATATAATAAACCTGATCAAACTGCATTTGTCCCAGAGAAATGTATGAGAGACAACATTAGACATACATTGAATGTTATTGACAACACAAATCCAAACAATCAAACAATGCCTGGGATCTTTTTGTAGGCAGAAAAAGGTTTTGACAATCTAGAAAAGTCTTTTATGTTTGAAGTTTTGAAAAAGATGAATTGTGGCTCCAACTTTTTAAATAGCTAAAAAGCATTTTTAAATGGAAAAATGCTGACTAAGACATTAGCAAAATATTTTTTTATTAAATAACATAAAATATATGATTTTTATTGGAACAATGTATCATGCCAAAGGGGACAAACTAAAGCTGCCCCATCTTGTTCATTACTTTTACTAACAATATAATCATTGGCAATGAAAATATATTAAGAAAATAAAATTTCAGAAGTTAAACTAGCAATTCAAAAACATAGACTGAAATTAAATTTGTCTTGCTTACTGCTGCTATCAAAATGAAGATTTAATTTTCTTTTACAAAGGATTGAAAATAATAGATAATGAACTACATATACTACAGGAAGACAAGATCATGTTTAAAATTTTACAAGATTGGAAATAGAATTGAGTAGGATTGAAATAGGACAATTTGGGCTACTGAGTGAATTGTAATGGAGAGGCAATTTGTTGTATTCTTCATATTTTTAAGCAGTTTATTGTTTAGTGTGAATTGTACAATGAAATCTTGCTCTTGAATGCACTCATTCTTGAAGCTGATTTAATGCCTTGTATTAACTGGCTTATATATAAATGCTTGCTTTAAAATATAATCCATCTCTCTCAAACATTCATTGGATTATTTTCATCTAATTGGTAGCCTCTAAAAGAATAATAAATAGATTCATTATTTTGCTCCTTGTATTCTTCTTTTTTCTAATTTCTCAAAACTATTCACTATACACTGATAAAAGTTGTACACAGTTTCATAAAAATATATATTTGAAAATATTGCACTAAAAAGCATATTTGGGCTAAATTGTGTTTAAATATATAAGGGTATTGTGTTTAAATATATAAGGGCAGGAAAAATATATATTTGAGGTATTGATATATTGTGAATAATTTTGCAAATTTCAGAATAACATGTAAATTGTAAGAAAAGACAGGAAAAATTGATATACCAGTTACTGGGTTTTTGCTGATTTTTTTAAAATCAAAAAATCATATAAACATCTTCCTCTTAAGATTTTGGTAGCCTCTTATATTGTTCTTTGAGCAATCCAGTAACATGGTTTCTTCATGTTTATTTAGCTTTTGGCTACTGCCATATTTAGAATCAAGCTCCCCCCCCCCAGGAATTTACTACATTTCAATTCATCTAATATAATTTAGCCAAGAATAAAAGATCTGGGAATAACTTGAATGATTTAGTTCATTTGGACAAGAACTCACTATCCAGTTACTGGATAGAACTCTTACTTCATTTCTATTTCCAAATATGGAGCCAGAAACATTTGCCATTCACTATAGATTCTTGGGTGTTTTTATCCCAGTGAAATGGAAGAAAGCTTCAGATACTAACTGAAAAAAGTCATGGAGGAGGAGATGTGAAGGCAATGGCTGGCCAATTGACAAGAGAACTAGGGCTGGGGACTAAGGGAAGGAGGATAGAGCAAACTTTCCAATTAAAAAGAAAAATCTCTGAGCAAGAAGCCACACTTCCACATCTGATCAAATTTTAGCAAGCTAGCGTCCATAGGATTTTAAGCACAGATCTCACTAGAGGAAACTTCAACAAGAATTCAATGAAACTCCTCTGAAATTATAGAAATCTGAAGAGTAGGAGGCAGAGAAAATTGGTATTTATTTCTACCGGTAGTTGTGAAGATTGACTGGTCTGAGGTATCTGATCAGATCTGCTTCAGAACAGATATTTAACAGGGCTGTGTAGCCTGAAAAATGATGAAGTTAATTTATTAAAATAAGATGAAAGTCTTCTGTTGGAATATTCGGCCCTTTCCACATTTGCACATAAGCTATTCTGGCTGCTGTTAGAATATGTAAAGTTATGCAATTTATCTTTTTGGGGGTATTGGTCTTTGATTATTCCCAATAAATAGAATTCTAATTTGAGTTCAGTTTGGTGTCCTGTGATTCCTTGTATCCAATCTTTAATTTTGTTCCAATAGATCTTGGCCTTAGGGCATAGCCACCACATGTGGTTAGAAGCTACCGTCGACTTTTTGGCATCTCCAGCATTTTGGGCTAGTATTTGGGTATATTTTGGCTAGTCTTGCTGGGGCTAAGTGCCATCGGTAAAACATTTTGTATAAATTTTCTTTATATGTCGAGACTGTTGTTAATTTATAATTCGTGCTCCATAATTTTTCCCATTCCTCTAAATCTATATTGTGTCCGAAATTCTGTGCCCATGCTATCATAGTATTTTTTACCATTTCCTCTTCCATTTTGACGTCTAACAGGTATCTATATGTTTTGGATATTAATTTTTGTTCTAGTCCAATTAAAATTTTATCTAATTGATTTTGCCCCTTATTAAATCCAAATTCTTCTGAGTCTGTTTTATATCTGTTTTGAATTTGAAGATATCGATTACAATTCCCTGTTCTTTAAGTTCTTGATTTGATTTTAGTTTCCCTTGGGTATCTAATAATTCATTATAATTTATCATTTTCCCTAAGTCCAATCTTTTCGGGTGTATCATGGCCTCCATGGTTGACAACCAACGTGGTACTTTCATATAATGCTTATTCTTAATTTTCCTCCATGTGTGTATGAGTGAATCTCTTATTAAGTGTCAATTAAAGTAGGCATGTGCTTTGCCTTTTTTCTCCCACAGGTATGTGTGCCAACCTTCCAGGAGGTCATGACCTTCTAGTGTTAATATTCTCTTATCTTTTAATTTAACCCAATCCTTGACTCAATTTAATACCATTGCCTTATAATAAAGTTCCCATTTCGGTAGCCCAAAACCACCTCTGCTTTTACTATCCTGCATCAGTTTTAATTTAATGCGTGGTTTCTTACCCAGCCAGACAAATTTGGTTGTTATTTTATTTAATTCAATAAAAAAATGTTTTTCCTAATTTTATTGGGATCATCTGAAAGAGATACATCAATTTTGGTAAGATATTCATTTTTAACACTGCAATTCTGCCTAGTATTGATAATTGTAGTTTTCTCCATAATTCCAATTCTTTCCTAATTTGTTCAATTAATTTAGTATAATTGTCCTCTTTAACTGACAAACACCTAGTGGATAGCCATATTCCCAAATATTTTATTTTTTTTCACTCTGTAGTCCCATTTTATTTTGTAGTTTTATTTTCTGTTTTGCAGTGCAATTTTTGACTATCATTTTAGTTTAGTTTTTATTTATTTTTAATCCTGCAACTTCTCCAAATGTTTCTATTTCATGAAGTAGTATGTGTCCATTCTGTATTGGTTGTTCCTCTATGAATACAAGGTCGTCTGCAAATGCTTGGACTTTGTATTCTTCATTTCTGATTTTGATCCCGTTTATTCTTGAATTTTGTCTAATTGTGACAAGTAACACTTCTAAGGATAAAATAAACAGCAGAGGTGATAGTGGGCACCCTTGTCTCACTCCTTTGCCTATCTCAAACTCATCCGTACGGTCTCCATTCAGTAACATGCTTGCTGTTTGGTTGGAGTATATGGCTTGTAGTGTTTTTTCTATATTAGTGCCGAAATTCTTTTTTTTTAATTTGCTGTAGCATAAACTTCAAATTAAGATTTTTGAAGGCCTTTTGTGCATCAAGAAATATTAATGCTGCTTGCTTTTCAGGATGTGCTTTGTAGTATTCGATTGTATTTAACACTATTCTAATGTTTCTAATTTGTCTATTTGGCAGGAAGCCATTCTGGTCCGAATATTTATTTATTTGTTTGTTTGTTTGTTTGTTTGTTTGTTTGTTTGTTTATTTATTTATTTATTTATTTATTTATTTATTTATTTAATTTATATTGCCGCCTATTTGCCCATGGCGACTCAAGGTGGCTTACACAATATAAAATCATATTTAAAACAAAAAATAAAAATAAAAACAATAAGAACTAACAAAAAGAATCAAATAATATAATCTCACTTAGAATTGGTTTCATTCTTTCTGCTAATATTGTCATAAATATTTTATAATCTGTGTTTAACAGCAAAATTGTTCTATAGTTTGAAATCATTTGTTGATCGGTACTTTCCTTTGGAATTAAGGTGACGTATGCCTCAGACCAGGACTTTGGTAGTCTAGCTTCTAATAACGCCTCATTATATAAAATCTGCATTTTCAAATGAGGTCAATACATTACTTAGAAGACTACCAGCTAGCTTCTCAGGAAAATAAGTTATGATTCACAACCAAGATGATTCCTGATCTAGAGAAAGCAGAATAAAAATTTAGAGATTGATGAGTACTGCTAGTTTTTGACAAATGCAGAATATTATAGGAGTCATTTTTCCATATTCTTATACTTTTTCTAATTGTTATAGTTTTCTTCTATTTTATCTTCTCATAGTTTGAGCATATCTCCTGGTCTCCAGCAGAGAGAATATTGCTGCATACAAACTTTGTCATGGACATGACCATCATATCAAGTGGGGCTTTTAAAGTAGAAATGTAACATTTATTGCCTGAGCTACCAGCTGTATATATTAAGCCCTTTAGGGTTGTCAGGATGATCTGCCCTATTTTCCAGGACTGTTGTTCTTGTAATTTTTCCTTTAAAAAAATATATATTTTATTAATTTTCCAAAGTTTAAAAAC